AGGATGGGGCTGCAGGGGGGAGGGGATTCTTAGAGGTGTACCCGGCAGCGTAACGGGGGGTCCCCAGGAGGAGGGTCCGCTACCCGAGAGTGTCCCTCCCACTCCCCGCCGGGGCGGGCCCGGGAGCGCAGCCGGCTCGGCCCGCCCCCCCACCACGGTGATCGGGGCACGGCGCGGAGGCAGCTGCCGCCCGTCGGGGCGCCGTGCGGGGTTCGGCGCTCCGCAGCCCCCCGCTCCCCTCCCGCAGCGCTCCTCTCCCTCCCCTGCAGCTCAGGATGGCGGCGCGGCGGGGCTGAGCGGCGCCGGGGCCGCGATGGACGGCCCGGGAGAGGGGCAGCCGCCCGCCCCCGCCCCGTCGAGGGCGAAGCTGCCGCTCGGCATAGTCTTCTCGACGGCGCTGTTCTGCGGGGAGAGCGCGGCGGCCGCCGTCCTCTGCTTCTCCTACAGCCACTCCGACGACCGCTTCTGGCTGGCGCTCACCATCTTCTTCGTGCTCTGCCCCTCCGTCCTGGTGCAGCTCACCCTCATCTTCGTGCATCGCGACCTCAGCCGCGACCGACCGCTCGTCCTGCTCATGCACTTGCTGCAGCTGGGGCCCATCATCAGGTGAGCGCGGCGGGGACCCGGGCACGGCTCTGCACTGCACGACTCTGCACGGCACGGCTCGGTTCGGTTCGGCTCCCCGGCAGGGCAGGGCAGGAGCGCTGCGCACCGCTGTCAGCAGCGCTTTCCGCAGCGCAGCTCCTGCGCGTCCTGCTCCCCTCCCCGCTGCCCGCAGGACCCCCCCGGGCTCTCTTAGCCTGTTGCGTGCCTGCTGCCAAATGTGCTCTTCACACGGCTGCTTTGTGGAGTCAGCATTCCTCTCACTGTGGTTGCATTGTTGGGGGCTGAGATGCAAATCTATGCTGGAGTGGCTGAAGGGGTCTGGGGTCTAGGGATGTTGGGCTGTGGGTGCAGAGGAGAGGGACTGGGGGCTGCCACACCCCAGTGGGGACAGAAGGACGAAGGTGGATGTTGCACAAGCCGAAGAGGTGCTGTTCTCACTCCTGGGGAATGCTGCCGTGCCTCCCTGGCTGCTGTCATTGCTGTGCATGGGGGGAATGTCATGCCGGTCCCACAGCTCACCTAGCGCCTGGCCCAGAGGGCAGCTATGCTGGGGAGCACCAGCACTGCAGCATTGCCCCATCGGATCATGCTGGTTTACAGTGGCTGGCCCATTGCACTGAGCACTGCCACCAGCAGCTGCTGGGATAGGGTTTGGTGCTTGCAAGGGTCATGCTGAGCTGCTGGGGGATGCTGTGCCAGCTCTGGGGCTGCAGAGCGAGCTCAGCCTGCTGGGGAAGGCTGGTGGGGCACTGTGTGCATCGATTGCTTTTGGAGCCAGGTGCTGTGGTGAAATCATTTTCCCATTAGCTTGGAATAGGCCGTGAGCACTGATCTGGCAAAAGAATCAGTTCCCAAACCTCATTCCATTTGGGTTTGAAGCAGAGCAGTGGCTGTTTTCCCCATCAGCGCTTACAGACAATTACCTCCCGCTGGCCCTTGAGCCAGCCCAGCCCACAGGGAACCATGGCTGTGCCTGGTCCGTGTGCACTGCTGGTGAGACAGCGAGGCCAGCAGGGCCGGAGAAGCTGGTGGGAATGGAGGGGCTGGATGAAAGCTGCTGTGCTGAATGGTATCAGGAGGCAGCAGGAGGCAGTGGAGGAGGCCGCCCTCTCTGGAGCTGCAGGGTGCTGAGGGGACGCGCTCCGGAAGCCATGTTATCTGCTCCATCAGACATTGGCTTCCACCCCACTCTCTGCTTCCTGCTGCTCCAACTGAGGAGGAAGCGTGGAAGGTTTTTGAGATCAAACACAACAGCAGAACATTTCTCATGCTGTTGTGGGGTGCTCAACAGTGGGAAAACAGAGCCTGGGGTGCTTACGCCCTTCCTTTAGCTGCCAATGGAGCTACTGCTCTTATACCAGCTACCCTGCACCACCCTTGCTGCTGGCCCCGCGCTGGACCCAAGCTCTGGAGTGGATGGGGACGCACTGGGGTGACAGTGGCCATTTGCCCACTTTTGCCCAGGTGTGTGGAGGCCCTGGTGGTGTACTGCTGGTCGGGGCAGGAAGAGGAGCCCTACGTCACCATCACGCGCAAGCGGCGGCTGCGCAAGGGCTATGAAGTGGAGCTGGAGCAGGAGGTGGGCCACTCGGTGCGCCGGCTGGCCACCCACCGCAACGCCTTCAAACGCATGGCCGTCATCCAGGCCTTCCTGGGCTCCACCCCACAGCTCACCCTGCAGCTCTACATCAGCATCTTGGAGAAGTATGTCCCCATTGCACGAGGTAAGGGATGGGCTGTGTGCTGGGCACAAAAGCTCTGCTGTGGATGTGCGGGGCATGGTGGCATCTCAGGGATGTGGTGGAACCTCGGGGGTTTGGTGGAACATCAGGGCATGGTGGTATCTTGAGGGTATGGGAGAATGTCCTCAACTGCACACAGTGGTGTGGTATCCAGATGGGTCTCTACAGATACGCCCCATCCGGCCCTGCCACCCCTTGCCTTCCCTGAACAGCCCATAGAATTTAGGTACCTGCCCATCCCCTGGTTTGCTTTGCCAATGCTTTCCAGCCCACTGCAAAGCTGCAGAAGGTTGGGAGGAGCTGTCTGGGACTGAGATGCTCCCAGGTGCTTGCTTGCTCCATGGAGCCATGTAACCACATGATGCCCTGCCCACATAAACACTGTTCCTTTGCACAGGGGCAGCATTTCTTGCTGCTTCACACCCAGGTACAAACCCAGCTGGGAAAAGAGGAAGATACTGATTAGCAGAGTGAGGAAATCCCCGTGCTGCTCCCAGCATTATCTGACCCGCTGACCTCTCCTCCCACAGCCATCCTCATGGGCATCTGCCTGGTGTCGGTCACCTACGGGGCACTTGTCTGCAATGTCCTGGCCATCCAGGTCAAGTACGACGACTACAAGGTGCAGCTGCGCCCGCTGGCCTTCCTCTGCATCGTGCTGTGGCGCAGCCTGGAGATCTCCACTCGTGTGGCTGTACTGGTGCTCTTCAGCACCGTCTTCAAGCACTGGATCATCCCCATTGCCTTGGCCAACCTGCTGGTGGTCTTCTTCCAGCCCTGGGTGCAGTTCTGGCGCAGTGGCACGCGGCTGCCCGACAACATTGAGAAGAACTTCAGCCGGGTGGGCACAGTGGTGGTGCTGTTTGCCTTCACCCTGCTCTACGCCAGCATCAACATGTTCTGCTGGTCGGCTGTGCAGCTCAAGTTGGCCGACCGGGACCTCATTGACAAGTCACAGAACTGGGGCCGTTTGGCTGTGTACTACGTGGCCCGGCTGCTGGAGAACACGGCGCTGGTCGTTCTCTGGTACTTCTTTAAGACTGATGTCTATGAGAACATCTGTACATTGCTGCTGGTGGTGCAGCTGCTGCTCGGCTACTGCCTGGCCATCTACTTCATGCTCCTCTTCTTCCAGTACTTGCATCCGTGCCGCCAGCTCTTCCGACACAACGTTGCTGATTTCCTCCACTGTGTCTGCTGCCGGCGGTCCCTGGACGGTGCAGAGCTCCTGGAGGCACCACATGAACCTGGTGTGAGGCACAGCATCGTCTGAAGCACAGCCTGGGAGTATGGACAAGGAGCTGTGGTGGCGTGAGCCATGCTGAGGGCTCCATGGTGCTGTAGTGGCTGCAGGTGCTGGTGCCCTGCACTGAGCCCCATGGTGTCAGGATACAGAGCATGCCAATTACCCGGAACACACACACAGGGGACCTATGGGGTGTGCAGACCCCAATGGAGCACACAGCAATTGGAAGCTTTGTCCCCACGCTGCTGTGACCCCAGGGATGCTGCTCTGGGTTTGTTTTGAGCAGTAAAGAAACTTTGCTGTGGCTCTGCATCTGGGTGCTGGCAGGCAGCAGTGACTCACATGGGTGGGGACTGCCAGGATGGGGCCAAACAGCACGCATGCACGTTGCCCACGTAAACTTCACTCGTACTGCACCTGGGCAGGGGACCAAACTATGTCCCTGAGCTGGGGGCTGCAGTGCAGGCTCAGCAGCACAGCCCAATCTCTCCCAGCTGCTGCAGGCTTGCACTTGTCCTGCGATGGAGCCGATAAGGGGCAGCGAGGCTGTGGGTCTCTTCCTGCTGCTCCACCAGCACAGCTCTGGCTGTCAGCAGGCAGCGACCCCAGTTGTGACACAGCGTGATCCTGCCCAACCTGTTCCTTTGGCCACCAGGTGCCAACTGCCGTGCTGGTATGAGGTGTGGGTGCTGCAGTGCTGGACATCGCAGTGCTCACGATCCTGCTGCAGTGTGACCCCCCAGCAGCAATTTATAGGGCTGTCACTGCTGAGGGTGCTCAGCATCACTGGGTGCACAGCTGAAACACGCTGCACTGGCATGCTGAGCCCTGGCTGGCTCCTGGCACCAGCACAGTGGCACTGCTGTGCTCTGGGATGTGTCCCATCTTCTGCAATTCCTCTCGTGAAAAGTCATCAGGAGAGGCCAGGGAGGGTCGTGTTTGCCAAGCAGAGTCCTCTTCAATCCCCTGCCAGCAGGAAGTTCCTGCCTTAAAAAAGCACTCCTTAAAAAAGCTCCGTCCCCAAATGCTACAGGGGAGGGGAGAAGCAGGGCCGTGCCCCCACGTCCCTCTCTCTGCTGTGCCAGCTCCATGTGAGACCCCTTGGGACCCCTCACAAGGCTCCCCAGTACCTCATCAGGGCCGCGGCTCCGGGCTCAGCCGGCGTTCCTGGAAGGAGCCTTTGAAACCGTGCGGCATTTCCTCCAAGACACCGTGGGGGAAAATCCCTGCAGCGCCGTTGCCAGGCCCGGGGCCGCTCCTGGGGCTGTTGTCTCCATAAAACGCGGGCGGGCGGCAGCAGGCTGCATTCGCTGCGGGTGGACGGAGACATCGCAATATGGGCAACTGGCTGGTCAACCACTGGTTCTCGGCCACCGTCCTTGTGAGTGCACGGGGCTCAGGCTGCTGGGGGGCTGGAGGAGCTGGGGGGAAACTGGGAGCTGTCCTGGCTCTGCCATCCACGGAGGAACAAAGAACTCCTCCATGTGAGTGATGGGCACAGTGCCGAGTGGTGGCTGTAGATCTCATGTAATGACTCCTAGGCTGAAAGGAAAGGTGGCCCCCAGTGCTCAGGGGTTATTTCTGCCTTGTATGCCTCTTCCCCCTCACAACCCAAATGTCCAAAATCCCCAACTGCTCACAGTGAGGTAGAGAAGCAGTGCATCCCTCCCTGCGGCATCCAAAACCAATGGATGGAGAGTGCAAAACTTGAAACTGCCGCTGCTCCACTCTACTGCTGTGGGCAGGGAGGCTCCCACTTGGGTTTTCTCCTCTCATGGAGCTGCTTAGTGCTGGAGGAGCTGCAGCACCCACAGCACTGCTGCAACAGCAGCAGGCTGAAACGTCTGGGAAACGGGGGAGGTGGGGACAGGTGCAGGAAATTGGGATATTTGCATATTTTAAATTGTTAAAGAAAAATAGAACTCAGGGCAGAGTGGTTTTGGGAGCTCTGCAAAATATGCAGCTCCCATGCAGCGCAGAGCAGTGCAGGGAAGCACGGCTCTGCTGCAGGGCTGGCAGCATGGTGAGGACTGGCAGCTGCATCCCTGCAGCATTTCCTCCTCCCAGACCTTTCTGGCTCGGTATCTGCCCCAGGCCCTTCTCTTTCTCAGCGGCAGATATTTCCTTTATCTTCCTTTCCTCATTCCTTGTGCATGCAGAAGGATGGCATTGATGGGACAGTTATTTTGCAACACTCCTTCCCACCCTTGTTCCCGTGTCCCATCTCACCCGTGATGCCTCAGGAGTAAGGGAGTGGAATGGGATGCACTGCGCTGATGCCCTCTATCCGTGCCTGCAGCCATGTGCTGCAGGGTGAGAGGTCCTGTGGCTGGAGTTCCTCACAATCCTTGGTTCCCCTGCAGGCGGCCTGGCTGGGCATCAACATCTTCCTCTTCACATACTACTTTCTGTTCTTCGACCGGGACGAGCGGTACTTCTACACAAGGGCCATCCTCGGGGTAAGGTGCTCCCAGCAGCACCCTGCCTGCCCTGGAGCCCTCCTGGCTGGGCTGCAGCAAGGCAGCGGCTGCAGCACCCCAGAGGCGTTCCTTGTCCTGTCCTCTTCCAGTTCACTTCTGCTCCATCCTAATCCCTTCCTTGATCTCTGTTCCCATCCCAGCATCACTCCATACCAATACCCATCCCACAGCCCCAGCCCAGATCGCTTGATCCCCGCTCAGTGTTGCTTGCCCCATCCCATCCTGGGGCACTCAGCCTGCAGGCAGCTGCACCTTGTCCCTGACACAGCAATAATCACCCATCCCTGTCTCCATCTCCTCAGTCTGCCTTGGCGTGGGCCCGGGCATCGGCCAAGTGCCTCAACTTCAACAGCATGCTGATCCTGCTGCCCGTCTGCCGCAATCTGCTCTCCTTCTTGCGCGGGAGCTGCTCGGTGAGTGCCCATGGGCAGTCCCACAGAATGTCTGTCCCCATCCCTGCTTCCGTCCCCATCCCAACCCTGCCACCTCTCCTTGCAGTGCTGCAGGAGGACGCTGCGCAAGCAGCTGGACCACAACCTCACCTTCCACAAGTTGGTGGCCTATGCGCTGGCCCTGTTCACAGGTAGCACTCTGCTGCTCACCCTCTGTCCCCCCTGAGCCCTGTGGGGTGACAGTGGGTGACCGCCTGTTCCCCTGCACAGCTGTGCATACCATTGCCCATCTCTTCAACTTGGAGCGCTACAACTACAGCCAGCAAGCCAACGATGGCAGCCTGCCTGCTGTCCTTTCCAAGATGCACCTGCAGGACAGCAACAAGTGGCTGAACCCCATCCATTCCAACCAGACGGTGAGCGTGGGTCCACCGCTGCCAACCCCTTGCCCTGTGCCTACCCTGACCCCATCCTCCTGCCACCTCTGCAGACCGTCGAGTATGTGGCCTTCACCACCATCCCAGGGCTGACCGGGGTCATCATCACTCTGGCGCTCATCCTCATGGTCACATCTTCCACTGAGTTCATCCGCAGGAACTACTTTGAGGTCTTTTGGTACACACACCACCTCTTCATCATCTACTTCATCGGCCTTGTCATCCACGGTGTCGCGTAAGGCTTTTCCTGCAGGCTCCCAGAGCTGCAGAACAAGGGGCAATGGTGACAAACAGCCACTGTGGTGGCCGCATCTGCTCCAGGATGACCTGGATGCAGTCCTCGATGGGAGGGGGCCCCATCCTTACACTGCCTCCCTGCAGCGGGTTGGTGCGTGGGCAGACGGAGGAGAGCATGAAGGAGGTGCACCCACAGCGCTGTGCTGAGTTCCTGGTGCACAAGCCCAAGGAGTGCAGGCAGGAGTGCTGCAAGGAGCCCGAGTTTGGTAGCATCCCCGCAGAGGTAGGGATGGGAGTGGGGCTGCAGAAACCCCAGGCCCTAGCATACTCCGTTAGGAGGAGCAGATGGCCTGGGAGGCTCCAACCCCTTGCTCCCCTCCACCCCACAGTCCTGGAAGTGGGTTTTGGCTCCCATCATCCTCTACATCTTTGAGAGGATCCTGCGCATCTGGCGCGCGCGCCAGAAGGTGGTCGTCACCAAGGTAGGTGGTGAAGTGGTTGCACGGAGGAGGGCAGGGGCTGCTGCCACACAGGCAGCAGGGCCATGTGGGGCACTGAACCCTGCTGCCGGCCTCACAGGTGGTCATGCACCCTGCTAAAGTGCTGGAGCTGCACATGCAGAAGAAGGGCTTCCGCATGGAAGTGGGACAGTACATCTTTGTCAACTGCCCCGCTGTGTCCCTGCTGGAGTGGCACCCCTTCACCCTCACCTCAGCACCTGAGGAGGACTTCTTCTCCATCCACATCCGGGCGGCTGGGGACTGGACGGAGCGCATCATTGACACTTTCCAGCAGCAGAAGCTGGAAATTCCCAGGTAGCCTGGGGAGAACACCAATGGGGCCCCCCAGGGGTTGAGGAGGCCATGCTTCTTACCCAGGCCCTCCCTTGGCCAGGATCGAAGTGGACGGCCCCTTTGGCACAGCCAGCGAAGATGTGTTCCTGTATGAGGTGGCCATGCTGGTGGGAGCAGGCATCGGCGTTACCCCCTTTGCCTCTATCCTGAAGTCCATCTGGTATAGGTTCCAGCAGAATGACCAGACTCTCAAGACCAAGAAGGTACTGAGAGCCCTGTGGGACCAGCTGACCCCACACACGGTTTCTCCGTGTTCAGAAGCACTTGGCTTCCTTATGCTTGATATCACATCCTTCTCTTGCTCCATCTCGAGTAACACTTCTTCCCCATGCTACTGCATCCCAGATCTACTTCTACTGGCTCTGCCGAGACACGGGTGCCTTCGCCTGGTTCAATGACCTGCTTGCCTCACTGGAGCAAAAGATGGCTGAGTCTGGCAAGGCAGACTTCCTCACCTACCGGCTCTTCCTCACCGGCTGGGACACCAGCATTGTGAGTTGGCTGTGGGTGGGCATGGCTGCAGGGGGCTGGTGGTGGCTGTGGTACTCATTCTCTCTGCTCTGCCCAGGCCAACAACGCAGCACTCAACTTTGACACAGTCACGGACTCAGTGACGGGCCTGAGGCAAAAAACCATATTTGGGAGGCCCAGGTGGGACACTGAATTCTCAGCGGTGGCCACAGCCCACCCCAGGTGAGATATGGGGGCCTTGGGGTGTCGATACCAGGAGGCATCGCCTGGTCCTCAACACCCACAGCCCCTCGCTGCATGCAGGTCGGTGGTTGGTGTGTTCCTGTGTGGTCCGGAGGCACTGGCAAAGGTCTTGCAGAGATCCTGTCACCAGCACTCCAGCTTGGACCCCAGAAAGGTCAAATTCTACTTCAACAAGGAGAACTTTTAAGCGGGAGCCAGGATGGGACCATGGGCAGCAGAGAATAACCAGCCTGCTGCTCTCACTTCCCTTTTTGAAGCAACTCTGCCTGGAATGAGCATCAGCTGAAAAGCTTTGCATGAGAACCAGGCAAGACAGCTAGATCATCCTTCATAAGAAGAAACTCTGGGTTCACAGACTGCTGCCTCCTTGACCCTACAAAGGGTCCCTGCGAGGGGAAATGAGCCCAGCTCTCAGCACAGCCCCCCATGAGACACGCATTGGGATGGACCGGAGCAGCACGCAGGTGCAGACCAGCAGGAGGCAAGGGGAGCCCAGCAGGCTGGGCAATATGGTGGGGTCAGACGTGACACCAGGGCACTAAGGGCCAAACACACCCCTCCCGATTTAAGTGTCCCTCTCCATAAAATAGTAAATTAAACTTGTTTTTCCTTGCAATAAAAGCCATGGGTGGTGTCTCAATCTGTGCAAGTGTGAAGGAAGCCCGCTGTTTGCCCCCCGTTACTGGGCTGCAATAAAAAGGCAATAAACCCTCGGAGGTGAAGTGTAGGGTGGTGGAGATGGCTGTCCACCAGCCTTCTCCCTCTACAGAGGCTCACAAGCACCAAAGAGCCATGTCTGCACCAACCACCAGGCACAAACCAGCACACAGGCAGACTTCAAGTGCAAAGATAACTAATTCTGCTCAAGCATATGCACAAGGAGAAAAACACCCTCCCAGGGCAGGCAGGTGTGGTAAGCGATACAGCAATTGGATACAGAGCCCTTCTGCTCTTGTCAACAGGGATAGAAAGCTGAGCTCCCTGTCATGCCCTAGAGGAGGGCACAGCCAGACTGACCTGCATGATGGGGCACCCACTGTTTCCTGGCCCACGGGCTGCTGTTACCAGCCAGACACCTTCCATGGGCAGCTCACCCTGTTTGGTAGCCAGCACATTCCAGCTGAAAGGTGCTAAGAGTACCCATGGTGCTTAATGGTCCCCCAGAGCGTCCTTAGCCCCAACACTTGCTGCCCAAGCCTGATAGCCCATCTGTCTCCCCAGATGACAATTTTAGCTTCCTGCATGTGACTGCCTCCTTCCATGTGCTGCCCCTGCTCAGCTCACCATCCCAAGGTGCTTTCTAATGGATTCCTAGTAAACAAGAAATCCCAGCAGTTGCTCCTGCCCCTGTATTGCTGGGAAAATGAGAGGTTCAGCCCAGGACAGAGATAGGCGAGGCTGTTCCCAGCAGTCCTCCTGTCTATGAGGGACCATACAAGGCAATCTGAGACACGGCTTTACTCAAACCCTCCTCCCACTTTATTTCAAACATCATAAAATATACACACAGAAAAAGGAATGAATTGGGAGGGAAAACCTTGGGTGGCAAGGAGGAACCTCTCCCTAAACGCAGCATCAACTCAGACAACAGGAAATGGCTGCCATGGAGCACCTTCTCTGCCCATCACACACCTGCCAGGCCTGTGAGAAGGGGAGGGAAGTGAGCATTAGCAGGGCCGCCCTGCACTGAACAGCACTCTGATTCACCGCAGGGGAGCAGGTTTAGGCTTAAGGACATCACCTGTCAGGGTGCCCCCGTGGATTTCTGGATTTGCTCCTTTAGAATAAGGATGCTTTGCCGTTGCTCTGGGGGCAGCATGGCGATCTGGTCTGCTGTCAGCTGCAGAACCTGCATGATCAGGGCCGCCTGAGGAGAGAAGGGAGAGTCAGAATTGCTCTCTGCCAGCATAGCCATGGGTTACCACAGAGAAGAAAGAGGTGCTGGATGGATTAAGTTTCCTCTGCAGCAGGACCATGGAGCTGCCCAAGCCCTGAGCAGAGCAGGGTACAATAACCTCCTGCTCCAAATGCAACAGGAAAGAAAACAAGTTCTCTGAAGCATGGTTATCTTCTGTCATGGTAAGGCACACAGAAAGCACTACCACTACTCTCATTATCTAACCCCTTCCCACCCCTTCACTCACCTTCTCATGATCCTGGGGGGTGACCTGGCTCTGTCCAGGACTAAAGCCTCCGGGCTGACCAGCTCCCTGGACCCCTGCCCCAGGAATGCCCCCTCCTTGCATGCCAGCCCCTGCCATGTTAGGAACCTATGGGTACAAGAGAGAGGATAAGGACTGAGAGGTTCCTGGACTCAGCCATAGACACAGGAACATAAAGCAGTCTTTTTACTTCCAGGACACACTGCTCTGCAGGAGGTCTTCCACCTCCAACAGTCACATGCATACCTCTCACCCAGCCCTGCCCACAAGACACCATCAGTGCACAGTCAGTCACACAGAGCTGTACCTGGCGGGGCCCCTGTGGACCGCTGGCTCCCATATTAAGTGGTCCGGGACCCTGTATGCCACCTGGCATCGGGCCGCGTGGGTTGGGACCAGGCCCTCGAGGCTCCAGGCCTCGGGATTCCATGACCCTGGCCTCCATGGCCCTGGCTTCAAGCACTCGTGGCTCCAGGACCCGTGGCTCCATGCCCCTTGGCTCCAGGCCCCTCGCCTCCATCACCCGGGGCTCCAGCCCTCGTGGTTCCAATCCTCGCGGCTCCAGCCCTCGGGGATCTCTTCCAACTGCAGAGGAACAACAAGGCAAGCTGTAGAAGGGAGCAGTGCCATGGAGTTATGGGATTGAGCCCACTGCCTTCTCTGCTGGGAAGCTGACAAATGCCAAGATGTAGGGCTGGGGAAAAGGAGACATGCCTGGAAGAAGCCCCTCACTCTGTGGGACTGTTCCTCATGCCTTAGGTTCATTTCTCTGCCCAAACCCCCTTTTAAGTCTTGAGTTGAGTCAGTGAGCTCCACTCTGCCCCTCTGTCTGCATGCTTTAAGCCACCCGTTATTTCATGCCCCCTCTCTCACCTCGAGCATCCATCAAGGGCCCCCGCGGCTCTCCCATCAGTGGTCGGGGTTCTCCCATGGGTCCACCCCTCATCTCATGGGGGGGGCCACGGCTATCGTGGCCAGGCATATGATGCATAGGGGCTCCTTGGTGGGGTGGCCCAAGGTAACCTCTGATGCAGAGAGACGAGGAGAGCAAAGCAGAAGGAGGAGAAAAAGCAAGAGAGTAAATCAGACACTGGCTTGGCACGGTCTGGGCAGAGCGTTGGGATTGCCCCCAAAGCCGGCCGCTGGCAAGGCTTGCACAGGGATGGATGCTGTCAGTCCCATGTCACAGGGCTGCTGATAGCACCCTGGGGATGCCCCATCCCTGGGGAAGGGGACTGGTCCCCATGGCTGGCAGCACACAGGCCTCCAACCAGGCAGCAGTGACTCCCGGAAGGCTCGTGCCATCCCTGTCCTTAGTGAGGTCACCCCTGGGCAGGGAACAGTGCAAGGGGCTCCTCTCCTTCCCTCTCCCCTCACCTGGGCTCCACATCTCCAGTGACTGAGAGCAGGGTCCCTCCACGAGGGTCATTCGGGGCATCTCCCAAAAGGCCTCGGGGCGGCGGGCCACTAGCAGGTAGAGGTCCACGCTGCATAGGGGCCCTCGGGTCTGGCATGGGCACTGCCAGGGAGACATACAAGAACTTGTGAGGACCTGCACAACCAGTGCTGCGCTGAGACCGTCCCCCAGCCCCCTCAGGGCTGGGACGTGCACTGCCTCTCTGCTTCCCAACACAGGCAAGTGGGCTGTGCTGATTGCTGAGGGAGCAGTCCCTGGGATAAGGCCAGAGAGCACAGAAGCCCCTTCCCTGGATGCTCATTACATCACTCTCTTTCCCCCTCTGGTTTTCTCTCAGGCTTCTTACAACACCAGGTGCTCAGAGTGCGGGTGCCCCTTGGCAATCCTAAGAGCATGGGCCAATGTGAGACCAGGTGCAAGGCAAGACCAGGAAAGCTCCTGTCAGAGAAGTGCCTAAGTGGGCTGGATCCTAATTGAAGACCCTCTCCAAACAGGCACTCGTTTCCACTGGCGACTCTCTGCACGGCATTATCTTGCTCTCCTCTCCTGCCCCCAGAGGAAATCCTGCCTCCTCCTAACCCTGCCAGGCTACACGGAGTGATTCCAGTCCCCGGCCCTGAGCACAGTGTGGTGACAGCTGCTCTCACACACTGCACAACGAGCTCCAGGACAGCCTGGAGCAGGCAAGCGCCGCGATACCTTGAACGCGTTCGATAGACGCAGGCCTGGCAGGTCCCACGGGCGAGAGCTGCAGGGTCCCTGGGCAAGCAGCAGAAAAAGAGGGAGAAGAGCAGACACGTAAATAGTGTATGCACACATGCACACAGCCTTGGGGACGGTGCTGTCTTGGCCTGTAGGATCACCTCTGCTCCCTGGCATCCCCCAGGACACCTGTTGAGAAGATGCTGCCAGTCTGGCTGTATCAGCAACTTCCACCAACACCACGTCTGCCACCACAGGTATGGAAGGCAGCTCGGCACAAAGTGCCAGGCTGGGCGCAGCGCCTTCTTTTCTCACTCTGTGAACATGCAGGGAGCAGAGTGAACCTTGCCGCAGGAAGTCCTGCCAAGAGAACTGGCACACTGCTGCAGCCCACAACAAGTCAGCTCCTGTCCCTGCCTGTAGCTGCCTTGGGCACTCCCCAGCACTGGTTTTCAGTCTGCTCTTCAAAACCTTTTGGGTATCAGTGAAACTGCCAAGAACTGCAGGATTGCTCTTGGGACGATGGTGCTCACTCTGAGAATAATGACAGTCAGCTGCCTTTAGGACACTTAAGACTGGAAGAACTCAGAACAGGTTTGCCACTCTGCTGACACAAGACCTGAGATACAAATCTAGGCGACGGAGATGTCAGAGCCCTGCATGTCTGGAAGAACAGGAATGCCTCACTTTGGTTGCCCTAAGCACGGGGCAGCCGCTCAGTGCTGAATGGTAAGGAATCCAGTTCCAGGGCTGGGCTGTACAGACCGTGCCTGCAGAGGGAGTGAGGGCCAAGCAACTGCCCGTTGCAGAATTCCCTGCCAAGCCTCGTACTCACTATCACAAGCAAAAGCGAAGACCCAGCTCCCTCTGCTGGGCACGGCACAGAAAGACACAGGCAGACACTACAGCAGCATAGCTGCTTCCCAGCATCCAGGCAGCAATGAAGCAGGGCAGGGACTGGAGAAGAGCAAGCTCTGCCTGCCTGCACAAGCATAGGGACAGACAGGGGCTCATAGACAGATAGAAAACACAGGCACATCCCGCCCAGTGGAATGGCAGCTCTCCTGGCTTCCAGGATGCATCTGCACAACACAGTGTAGAACAAACTGGAAGCAAACTGGTGCCTAGGCTGGAGTCCTGGATGCAGGAGAGCTGTTATCACAGCCTTGCACCTAAGCAAACAAACTCAGGCGTGTCTCAGTGCTATAGGAGCTGCCATGTCACCAGATGCAGCAGCAACAAGGCTGCACATAGCAGGCAGAGGTGTGAGGCAGCTCGCTGCGCAACATTGTTCAGAACCCATAGCCTGGGCTCCTGCTGGAGCAAGGTTCACGTGATACATGGCATGAACTTAACCTCTGATGTACCTTGTCCACGCTCCAATGGCACGGGCCCTCCTCCAGGCATGCCGACCTGCGGCTGCAACCCACCTGATGGGGAAAAAGCAGAGGTAAGACACATTCGTTGTTGTCCCTATACAACCAACTCATTCCTTTGGACCCAAATAACTACCCCCTCCCAGCTCCTAGGGCAACATCTGGAGATTTATTTTCTTGCTGTTGGTTGCCCATGGAGGTAAGCCAACTTTCTGAACTGCCACTGACAGCAGTCACAACCACTGCATGGAGTACAAGTGCCCTCATGGGGCCCAGCCCTATGGTTAGGGGAAGATACAGTAGGGCTGTCTGCAGGACCCACATGCCCAGGGCAGCCTGGACACTGCTCAGTCAAAACCCACACACTCACCTCCTGGAGCCATGGGGCCAGGGCCAGGGCCCTGCACGGCAGCTGCCATCTGTCCTGGGGCTGGCACTCCTCCCTGCATAGGCGGCTGCATCAGAGGGGGAGCGCCATTTACATGCATGCCACCCTGTCCAGGAGAGAAACCAGGCCTCAGCAAAGTCAGCCCAGCTAGGAAACCTGGGCTGGTAATGCCACTGCTCCCCAGCATGGTACATGTGCCCCAATGGCTCTTACTATGGGTTGTGGCTGGGATGATGGAGTATTCTGTGGGTTCATCTGGGCATTAGGCCCTGGCCCGGGTCCTGGTCCTGGCCCAGGTCCTGGCACAGCCTGCTGGTTGCCTGGGATCAGAGGAGGAACGCTAGTCTGACGATGCAGGATTTTCTAGAAGCAGAAGAAGGAGAAAGAAGTTATCTTCCACTCTCCACAACAGGCTGCTGCCAACGTCCTACCAGCCCCAGTCAAGACAGTGAAGGACAAACCAGTGCAATCTCTGGATCGACGATCCTCATTACCACCTGGGCCTGTAGCAGAGCATAAGCCAGCTGGGGGTTCTGCAGCAGCATGTTCCTGGCTTCCTGGGGGCTGTTTTGGACACACAGCTGAGAATACACATAGAGATCAGCACTCTAGCAAGGCATGATATGGCCTATCAGGGCACAGGCAGCTGTAGTAGAAGGTGCTCATGCACAGAGCAGGGAGCATAGCTCCCTTCTTCACTCACCTTCATCTGTTTCATCAACTCAAACATCTGCTCGGGCGGCAGACTCGCCACTGCACGGCTGATGGACTCAGGGGCATCCTCAGGATTGACAGGGTCCCCATAGGGTGACTCTATGATAGGTGCACCTGTGCCCAAGCCTGCAACAGAGTTTGTGACACAAGCTGCAACCTCAGAAGGCAGTGTGAGCTAGTGTTTAGAACTGGCTGCTCATAAGAAGGGTAATGCCATGCCATTAATGGAAGGCAGCAAAAGCAAGGAGATCTGGAAGGAGAAAACAACCTTAGCCCACATCCCCTCTGCAAAGCTGTTTGCTGGGTCACTTGGAGCAGGCCAGCTCTGCCAGCCTCACAGAGCCAGGTACGTACTGCAATGCCAAGAAGGCCAGGCCCAGTACAGCATCAGCGTTCTCTGGCACAGAATTCAGACTCACTCTTCAGCTCCTCCTTGTTCTTCTCGCTGGCTGCATTGTCAACACGGAGGGCCCTCCCACTGAACTCCCGTCCATTCAGGTTCCGCATGGCACTGAGGGCCGTCTCCTGGTCCTGGTACTCACAGAAGCCATATCCCTTTGGCTTTCCTGTCTCCCTGTCATACACCAACCTGCACAGCAAGAGGAGAGCCATCACCACTGAGGGCAGCCTGCAGCTGGGAGTGAGTAAACATCCCCGCAGAGCTCCTCAATAGAGAAGCTCTCAACCCATAGCTCTCAACAGAGCACAGTTAGGATGCAGTGATGCAGCTGGTCTGGCCGTGGATACAGTATGCTCACGTTCACGCCGCAATGCTCGGGCTCTATCCCCAGCTCTCAACACGGAGCACGGCCCTCACGCACCCCCAGCACACGGCAGTGCTGCCGGTCCCGCGCGGGCCCAGGCCTCGCTCCCCCCTATCCGTTTGAAGGCCGCTCCGCCGCACACGGAGGGGGAGCAGAGGGGACGACAGAACCGCTCTCACCTGAAGCTGACCACGGGTCCGACCTCGGAGAAAATGTCCTTCAGCTGCTCCTCCGTGGCCTCGTACGGGATGTTCCCCACTGCGGGAGAGAGACGGCGGCGCTCAGCCCGCGGAGCGGAGGGCGGGAAGCCGCAGAGCCGCAACTCGGGCAGCCCGGCCCACTGCCGCCCCCCGCCTCGCGGCCCTCACCGAAAACCGAGCGCAGGGAGCGGTCCACGGCCGGGTCGCGCACCGACAGCCCCGCCATGCTGCCCGGCGCTTCCGGTCGCCGCGCGCCGCTTCCGGTCGCCGCGCGGCACCGCGCCCCCCCCCCCCACTTCCGCCCTCACCTAACGTGGCGGCGGCGGAACGCGAGCGGAAAACGGTCCGGAGGGAAACGGCGGCTTGTGCGGTAGGACTGGGGTACGTGAGTGCGGGAGCGGCCCGGAGCGGGATCTTCACGGGGCTGCCGGGCGGCTCCGGGTCGCGGCTGTGCGGTGCGGGGCAGGGCCGGGCCATGAGACATCACCCGCCGGGTCCGCCACCCTTTGGTGCTCTCCATCCCTGGGTGCTACATCCATTGGTGCCCCCCATCCCTTAACGTCCCCCACTTCTGAGCCCCCCATCTCTCGGTGCTCCCTCCCTTGGATCCCCTGTTCCTCAATGTCCCCCGTGCCTACGCAGCCCCATCTCCCTCGTGCCCCCTCCGAGCTCAGCACTCCCACATCCCACACGTAGGTGCCACGTTCCCGTTGGCCGTCCGTATCTCTTCGTCCTCTGCAATGGCTGCGGGGGGTGGCACCATCCCCGCGCTGGTCACGGAGCCACGCTTTGCCCAGCACCTGAGGTGAGCTGGGAGGGAGCCGAGGGCCCCTGAGGTGTCCCCACGCTGTGCTCTGGCTGCAGCGGGACTGGGGAGGCTGCAGGGGGAAAGGAATGCATGAGGCGGCCCTGGCCCTGCAGGCAGCGTTTGGAAGAGGCCCAGCTCTTGGATACCCGGTACCGGCTGCAGAAGGTGCTGGGGGGCAACGTGGCCCTGCCTGTGCTGGAGGGGAAGGCAGCGGAGCAGTGGCTGCAGGACAAGGAGCTGCAGGGGCCGCCCTGCCGGCTGCTCTGTATCCAGGTGGGCACAGCCCTGCGTTGCCTCCCAAGCACAGGTTCAGGCTGGTGGCCTCACTCACTGTGTCCCTCCTGCAGGACCCTGTCCCCTCAAAGGCTGCCAGCGTGCAGCCGCCCGCCCAGAAGCTGCGCTGTGAGCTGCGTCGGCTGCTGCTGGAACTGGGAGAGAGCTGGTCAGAAGAGCTGGAGTGCGATGTGCCCCGCACCTGGCAGCGGCATGGAGACTTGATCCTGCTGAGTGAGGACAGCTTCAGTGCTGCGCTGTGGGCAAAGCTGGGTGAGCAGAGCAGAGCTGCCCACAGAGCTGCTATGGGGGGGCTGCCAGCATCTCCCAGTGCTCCCGGCATGGCTGCATTGCAGGCCCTGTGCTCTGGGAGACGGTCGCCTCGGCTTTGGGTGCACAGCGCCTGGCCAAGCGAGGACGGGTGTTGCCAGACAAGATGCGCTCCCCCAGTGTCACCCTGCTGCTGGGCCACAACAGCTGGGTGGAGCATGTGGACAATGGCATTCGGTAAGAGGAGCAGTGATGTGGGACACGGCATTGAAGCTGAGAGAGGGAGCTGCTCTCACTGGTGTTGTCTCCCAGGTACACGTTTGATGTGACAAAATGTATGTTCTCCCCGGGTAATATCACGGAGAAGCTGCGAGTGGCCTCGATGCAGTGCTCTGGGGAGGTGCTCGTGGATCTCTATGCAGGTAACAGCCCTTGGGGTGGTGGAGGGGTTCTGCAGGGCAGGTGGAGAGCAGTGATGCGGGTGCTGATGGCATCCAGATGGATGTGGAACAGTATTAACTCTGCATGAAGAATGAAATGGGTTGGAAAAATGGTCTGGGACCTGTCTTAGAACTCCTGCCCCATCTGGAAGCCCTCAGCACTGCTGTCTCTCCTGGGATCACATTGAATCCTTGGGACAATCTTGTGCTCAGGCTCTGTGGAGCACTACTCTGTACTTAGTACTGCTCACAGGAACCATCTGCATCCAGTGAGAAGGTTTGTCCTCTTTTTGATCCTGGAGGTTGTTTCTGAAAATGTCCTGAGTATATTGGGTGTGATGTGCTCCTGTAACCAGCTATTGCTAACTGAAGCAAACAGCTGGTCTGTCTTCTCCTTTGCTATGAATGCCTGGGGACACGGCATCAGGCTTCTGTGTGTGGAGAGCTCTGTTCTGTATGTAGGAAAGTCAGCATTTCCTATTTGTGCCACAGAAAGAAAGAGGAACTCATAGAGTTGCTCTTGATCAATTAAAACAAACACCAGATTTGACACTTCCATATAGGCTGGGAGCAGAACAGGATAGCAGCATTAATGGGTAAAGGCAGACCATAAAATAAGTTTCTCTGTAAATACTTTTTAAGATGAATGTTGGTTTTATGGGATGAGAGGGAAATGAAAGTCCATTTTGCAGGCATTTCCCCAATACCTGGGGTAGTTCTACCTGAGCAGAGCAGATGCATAGAGCTAAGGGTGGTAACCCACATCCTAAGCTGCCTCTGGGGAGGAGAGCAGACCCCAAGGGGTACCTGCCCTGTGCCTTCTTTTCTGCTACCTCCTCTGTCCCCAGGGATTGGGTACTTCACACTACCGTACCTGGTTCATGCGGCTGCTGCCTTTGCCTATGCCTGTGAGTGGAACCCACACGCCCTGGAGGCCCTGAGGAGGAACCTGGCACTGAATGGTGTGCAGGACCGCTGCCAGATCCACGCTGGGGACAGCAGGCAGGTGGGCAGCACCCCTGGCATGGTGCTCTGCCCTTCTGTGGGCCCCGTTCACCATCCTCCTCCTCCTCCCAGCTGCAGCTGAGGGATGTGGCTGACCGGGTGAACCTGGGACTGATCCCCAGCTCTGAGGAGGGCTGGCCTGTGGCCTGCCGCGTCCTGAAGAAGGGCACGGGAGGAGTTCTGCACATCCACCACAACGTGGAGGCTCGCCCCGTGCCTCCTGTTCTGAAGGATGAGCAGAGACTCCCAAAGGAATCCAACTCTGAGCAGGAGGATGAAGAACACCGGGCCTCCGAGGAGATGGAGAGCAGTGGGCAGGAAGTGCTGGCAGCCAGGGTCAGGCCTGAGTGGTGGAGCTGGGCTAAAGCAGCTGCTGCGCGGATCCGGGGGCTGCTGACAGAGCTGCACAGCCAGCCATGGCAGACCAGCATCCTGCACATCGAGGCGGTGAAATCCTACGCACCCCATGTGCATCACGTTGTGCTGGACCTTGAGTGCCGCCCAATGCCACCCACCTAGCTGGCCACGGGGCCCCAGCATGGCTCCAGGTCTGGATTTTGCCATCTGGATGTGGTTTACATCCTGTGGTCCCGGGTGGCAACAGTGCCCAGCAGCAAGCCAGGCCCCTGCCATCCCTGCACCTTGTCCAGGGCTGCTGTGTAAGGGGAGCTGTGCTCAGCTGAGCTGCACAGGGACCGTGTGATGGCAGAGGATGGAGTTGAGGATGCCCATAGTCCCACCCCAGCTCTGCCTACTGCCACCCAGTGCAGGGACATCGCACTGCCTTGGATGTGTGCTGGCACTTTCAACCCTGTTTTCACATTGAAGAGCTGCAGGGACAAATAAAATAAACGTTTGTGCTGCGCTTTGTTTTGGTGTGTCTGGTGCATGCTCTGTGAGGTATTTTTGTTTGTTTGTTTTTTGGTTTTTTGGTGTTTTTTTTTTTTTAATGCTGAAAAAAGGTTTGTGTTGTTCCATTTATTGCTCCCTTTTTTATTACTGTATTTTTTTTTTTTTATCCAGAAATAAAAGTGTTCCCCATTTCCCTATCCGGTGTCTAGTGAAAATGCAAACGTAACCGACAGCTCAGAGGAAGCACGGTGTCACAGATGTGTCCCTATTGGTGCAGGCACGGGCTGAAAAACGTGGAAAAGGGCAAAGAGACATTCTTCATCCTCTCTCCTGGAGCCTGCCCGTCGGTTCCCAGCAGTGAAGCCGCCAATGGGCTCCGTGGCAGCCCGTGTGTGCTCTCAGGGAGGAGCCGCTTACCCCGATAGGGCTGCGGGAGGGCACCCCGGAGCTCCGGGCACGGCTGCGTCCGGGGCCGAGGCTGCTGTTTGCGGACAGCCTCATAAATCCGTGTGTCAATAGAATCGAGGCGTGCCGCCGCGAAGGCTGAGGAGGCGGTAGGAGGGAACGGAGAGGGGCCGGGGCAGGCGAAAGCGAACCACGAGTCCGCTCCTGGCCGTGGGGCCGCCCCATAGGGCCGGGCGGGGCCGCGCAGGTGCGTCGGGCGCGGAGCTTTTGGGACGCGCGGAGCCGGAGCCGCTGCAGGTATCGGGGCGGAGGGTTTGCGCTGTGACCGAGGGGGGATCGCAGCTGCGGGTCTGCACCTCCGGGACTTGGGAGCGGGCCCCGGCGGTGGCACGGCACGGCACGGCATGGCATGGGAAGCTCCGGCCGTGCAGTACTGCGCTGTGCGGGCGGTGGAACTGCGCCCGTGTCCGTGTCCGTGGCAGTTCCGAGCTCGCACCCCTCCGGGTTTGCTCGGCCGTGCGCGGCAGTTGTCATGGCTCTGCCCCGACTCCATGGCTTTCCCATGAAGGCACTCGGACCCACTGGAAACACAAAACACGGGGTTGGCCAGCGGAACCGGGCGGTGCGCGTCCCAGGGAGGCGGCGGCGGGCGGGGAGTCACTCAACTCTGCACGAACCGGGCAGCTTGGCGGCGCGGCTGTATTGACAGCGTGACAGCGCTGTCTGCGTCGGCAGCGAGTCCTTCTCTTGCTCCGTGCTCACGCCCCTGAATTCCCTCCCGTACGAAGGCTGTAGATCCGTGGGAGCCCTCCTCCCGCTGACTCCTTCCCCCCGTCCTGGCAGCGGCCTCACGGCTGCAGCAGCGGTGCGGCGGCTCCGCAGACAGGAAGGGCCCTCCTCGGCGAGGTCGGGAGCGGGGGTTTTCCGCTGCGGAAGCCCAGGAGAGCAGTCGAGGTCCCTTGGCCGGAGGGCCGCGGGCTGCACGGCACAGCCGTCCCGGTGCCGGGTGGTGCCGGCTGCCTGCAGACCAGCAGAACCGGTGCCGCCGGCCTGTGGCGCTGGGAGGTGAGCTGGGAGCACGAGGTGCCCTGCCCTTCTCTGCCCTACATACGGGCTGCGAGCCTGCGGGAGCTCACCTCTGCCTGCTGTCTGGATGGAGCCGGAGGTTGCCAGCTCTGGGGTTGGGGGTTGCCATCTTTGGGGCCAGCTCCCACTTCTGCAGCTGCCATCCCTGTCTTTTCATAACCCAGCTGATACAGGTGCCTGGCTGGTTGCTGGAAAAACACAGAGAGCTGTGCCTTGTGCGGGGCTGACAGGAGGCTGGGAGTGGGAATGGGAGTGCAGTCGTGCTGAGCAGAATGCAATGCCTGTTAGGGGCACAGGACGAGGCTCTGAGCTGTCCTGGGGACCGCAGTGTGGTGTGGGGATGGCAGTGAGCCCTGCATGGGTCTGAGCAGGGAGTGGTGCAGAGCTGTAACCCCGCCATGGGCTTTGCTTGCCTCCAGTACGTACGCATCCGGCTGTTTGGGGTCAGGGTGATGTCGGAGGCTGTGGATCTGTCCTTCCTGTCGGATGTCGAGAAGGATTTGATCCTGCAGGTCCTGCAGCGTGATGAGGAGCTCCGTAAAGCAGAGGAGAGGAGAATCAGGTGTGGTAGGGGTTTGCTCAGAGGGACTGAGCAAGCTGGGAGCTCTACTTGGTGCTCAGGCTCTGACCACTGCCACTGTTGGGCCCTATGCAGGCGCCTGAAGAATGAACTGCTGGAGATCCGGCGCAAAGGAGCCAAGCGGAGCAGCCAGCGCTACAGCGAGCGGACCTGTGCCCGCTGCCAGCAGAGCTTGGGCCGCATCAGCCCCAAGGCCAACACCTGCCGGGGCTGCAACCACTTGGTGTGCCGGGACTGCCGCTCCTATGGCCCCAACAGCTCCTGGCGCTGCAAAGTCTGCACCAAGGAGGCGTGAGTACACGGGGTTTGAGGATGAGAGGCATGGGCCTTCTGTGTGCTTCTCCTTCCCCTTCTTCCTTCTGCTCATCCCAGCCCAATGCCCCACAGTCACCCCCGTGGTCCAGCCCTAGGTTCTCAGCCTGGTCTCCATCATGGGGCTGCTGTCCAAGGTGAGCGCTCCTGGTTGGGTGATGAAGAACTGGGCCATGCCCTGCTCTGGGCTGTCCTTTGTCCCTGCTCCTGTCTCCCCATTATGTGGCTTCAGCCCGTGTTTCACGCAGTCGAGGCTTCCTTCCTCTCCTTGGCCTCACCTGCCCTGCAAAGCCCCCATCTTACTCTGTATTGACTTTAACCCATTGTTTGTCCAGGGCACAGCCTCTGCTTGGCCACTTCTGTCCATGCTCCTCTTGACTGGCTTGCAGTTCCATAGGGCGGCTAAAGGGAATGGTTTCTCACTGCCCCTCTGCCCCGCAGGGAGCTGAAGAAGACAACAGGGGACTGGTTCTACGACCAGAGGGTCAACCGCTTTGCTAACAGGCTGGGCAGCGATATGGTGCGCCTGTCTCTGCGGCACAGGTCTGCAGGTAGGGCAGGCCAGGAGGTGCTGGAGCCATGTCTCCTCCTGCAGCCCGGAGTGAGGTGGTTGTGACCCTCTGGGGTGCTTCAGCTTTCCCTGGGCTCTGCTGTGAACTTTCCAGCTGGACTGTGCCCCTCCTGAGTCCTCTCTATTTTCAGCGAGCAAAAGGGAGACAGTGGGACAGACACTCCTGCAGAAAGCACAGCTTGGTTCCTCTGCAGCCCGGCAGAAGAGCCCCCAGGAGCCCCGGAAAGTGCCCAGGTGAGGAGGAACCCTGTGTTTGGAGAGGGAGTCACCGATAGCCCATTTGGGTGCAGTAGATGGGAGAGAGGCTGCCGTCCTGCTCTGACTGCTGGTCTCCTCGCCAAGCAGGACATGCTTGTGGTTTTGTTTGTCTGCAGTTTGTTTCCTGATGCCTCAGACCCTCGGGAAGGCAAAAGTGACACAGAGTCCATGGAAAACATGAGCCTGGATGGCTACAGACCTGTTCCTGCTGCTGGGGGGGGCAGGTAGGGAAGACTGAGGCACATTGTCATTGCAGTGCTGGCCTGGCAGAGAGTGAGGGCTTCTGCCAGAATCTGGTTGCATCTGTTTGCTGCCATGATTCTAATGAGAGAGATGCTGGCTCTCCTCTCCAGGCTGAAACCTCAGGCTGGGCAGGCAGGTTCTTTGCTCCAGGCTTGCTCATGTGGCTCCTTGGAGCTCACAGCAGGAACAGCTCCCAGCTAAAGCCTGGTTTCCTGGCCCTGCTGCTTTTGGCTGAAGTGCTGGCCTGAGACAGAGCTTTTTCTGTGTCCTCTACAGAAGGAACTCTCTGGATAAAGCCACCACTATCAAAGAGGGAAAGCAGGTTGCTGGACCAGCAGGACCCACGGCAGCCAGCCTGACACTCCCTCTGCCCTCCAAAAATGTGCTTTCTGTCACCAACGGACGGGTGCGTTCTGCTGCCCAGCTGTGGCTGGGCACTGGGAGTCCCTTGGAGTCCCCTCTGCTCTTCTCTGAATGGGGCTTTTCTTTCCTAGGAGACTCCCACAGGCAGCCGAAGCAGCACGTTGGTGAATGATCAAGAAGCCATCTTCAAGAAGAACCCCCGAAGGGTGGTGAGACCAGCAGGTGAGAGGTTGGGCTTCCTGGCATGCAGCTGGTCCTTGCTGTGCTGTGATGGAGCAGCAGTGCTCTGCTAATCCCACAAACTCCTGTGCAGACTACACCAAGTCAGTGATCGACCTGCGCCCAGAGGAATTTGTGGGTGAAAGCAACTCCATGGGAGACAGGAGCAAGTCAGTGCCCGGCCTGACCACAGAGCTGGTGAGACTCTTGGTGATGCTGCAGATGGCCGTGCCTGTGCTGCCCCACGCTCCCTATGCGAGCTGTTTCTCTCTGATTGCAGGATGAGGAGGAGGAGGATATTGACAACCTGGTGGAGATCCATCGACAGCGGGTGGCGCGGGGCAGCATGCGCAGCGGCACCTCCTCGGTGAGTCCTGAGGCTTGGCTGTGCTGGAAAAGCCATGGAGAAGGGCCATGGGAGCTTCATCCCATGGAATAGGATTGAAAACCAGAGGCCCAGCTGTTGTCAAGTGAGCCTTGGTGTTAATGGGGGCACCTGGTGACCATCCCCAGCCAGGCAAGGCTGGCTAAGAGGGATTAGGAATAGATGTGCTGAGGACCACCTGGATGGTGACACTGCCCAGCTCAGCCCAGCCATGCCTTGCAGAGCACACTGGGGAGCATGGTCAGCATCTACAGCGAGGCTGGTGACTTTGGAAACATCGCAGTCACTGGGGGAATCTCCTTCTCCCTGAGCTACGAGCAGAAGACGCAGACGTTGTTCATCCATGTGAAGGAGTGCCGGCAGCTGGCCTATGGGGACGAGGCCAAGAAGCGCTCCAACCCGTGAGTGCTGGGAGGGAAATGGTGGCAGAAAGTGGGGAGGGACAGGTTGGTAGCATCGAGAGAGGTGGGAGCTGTAAGCAGGGGTCTTGGTAGAGTGGGAGGTCTGGAGTTGTCCGTGGGGGCTTGAGCTCTGCCTGTTCCTCCCTTCAGGTATGTGAAGACTTACCTCCTGCCTGACAAATCCCGGCAA